GCTGAAGCGGCGCAGGCATGTTAAACTGTCAAATCAGAGTTGCTACCCTGCCCAGGAACAACTTACTACAAACTGCGACTGCCGCCGTGGCGGCTGCTGCTGGTCCGGAGCTGTTGGTGCGGCTACTGCTGCTGCCATTGCTATTGGGGCCCTCCTACTACTGCGATTCCGACACTGCGACGACGACTGCAGCGACGTCAAACAGTAGTGTTCTGTCGCAATCACGCAGAATGCTCACCACGATCGTGAGCCTCTTCTTTGAAAGCCGCTGCATGCTTAAGGCCTTCAACTTCTAGCTAGAACGAAGCCTTCGTGCGACAGCTTTCCTTACCTTCGTACCTTCGGTTTAGAAGCCGGACAACCTGAGTATCAGCTTTGGGGGGCGGGGGCAATATTGCAAATAACAAGGAAATAAGCCTTCGTTCCAACATGTCCCAACATCAACAACGGCAGCAACTGCACTGCACCGGTTCATAAGGGAGGAGGCAGCAAGGATTTATTGAACCCTGTCTTCAGAAGGAGGACCTGAGGATTCTTTCAGGCTGAAAACCCTGAACGCAACCACCTATACTCTGAACCCCTGCTGTTACCATGAGCCCCATGTTGGTTTAAGACTGAACCGGGCACCAGGAATCGCAATCTCCGAAACCCGATTGCGATGGCGGCGTTCAGACATCTCCGATAGACTCAAAAAGTTCGGTGTCCCTCCAGGAAGTCATACCCGCTTGACCATAAGCTCCTCATGTTATGACTTTAAAGTCTTAAGCATGGAAAAAGCGGCTGACCCTGGCTTCCTCCAACCCCGAACTACGGCTCAGCTAAGCTAAGTTTGAGAGTTGCCCCGATCTATAGCTTCTGTAGCGAGCCCAAGGACCTCTTATAGATCCTAAACTAGGATTAATATTCTGATTTAGAATGCACTCCTTCATTCACGGTGTATTGGGCTCTTTGGGTTGGAGTGCAGCGGCACCGTCCTCCGAAAGCCCGAATTCTTCAAGGCTGGGGCTCTTGCAGGCTCTGGCTCCGCCTCCTCTTCTTCCTCCTCCTTGGGCCTTGCTTAGGGTGTAGGATGGTGTAGAGAATTTAAAGGCTGAGTCTAGGGGTCAGGTGAAATGTTCAGCTTTCAGAGCTGTGAGATCTTGTTGCTTTGCCTATGGGTAGGGGAAAGCATGTGCAGGTAGATTGACAGTCTTCCACTCGAGTCAACTGATTCGGATATGACCGCCAGCCCATTTGTGCTCTTGGCACCCTGCGACCTTCCTTCCTATGGCATACTGCTTTTATTGCCTCTGCCGCTACTACCTCGACCCCCACTATTGCCACTGCTGCGACTGCTGCCACTGCCACTGCTGCTGCTACTGCCTGTCGGCAACGCAATCCATGACGAGGACGACGACGACAACTCCTGCTTCCAAAACACGGCTGTGCCCCTTCTTCTGCATCGGCTCCTCTGACAGAACAATCGACGCAAACACACTCAGCCTGCCAGATGAACGATCCATCCTTGTCCTTCCCAATCGGGGCCGTCAACAGGATCAGCAGCCGCTTCTTGCTCTGCTTCCTGCTGTGCCGGCAGCTTCTCCGCCGGCAGCGGCGTCGGCGGTTTCGATGGCTGCCTTGCGGCCTGCCGACAAAGCGCACAAAGAACCCACCCTAAATGCATGTGTTTCAGACCAGCGGTCAACGCCACTACCAAGTTTCAGCGGCAACTCGGCTACTTCCCTGTGCTGAAATCCCATATAGCCCCATGCGACCACAACGAGAACTGTGCGATGACCCGGCCCGTTTAAACTCGTCTGCAAGAAGAACTTCATTCGGCATACTGCAGAAATAAGCCTGCTTCGGCGCCTCCTCCACCTCGACGATCGAATCGTCTCCATCACCGCCCTGCTCCTCTTCCCCGTCCTGTGGGAGGTTCCAGCAACTCTAGTTTATGAGCCCTAATCCCTAAACCCAGGCCCTAAGCCCTAAACCCTAAACCCTAAACCCTAGGCCCCAAACCCTAGGCCCTAAACCCTAAACCCTAAACCCTAGGCCCTAAATCCCAAACCCTTAAAGAACCCCCTAAGGATGCTCTGGCCGGAACCCCTAGGTTCCTAGACACAGTCACCGCCAAAACCCCCCGGGTGCAGCTCGCCTGGAAGGGACCTGCAAGCTTGAGCAGGGTTTAGGGTTCAGGGGTTTAGGGTTTAGGGTTTAGGGTTTAGGGTTTAGGGTTTAGGGTTTAGGGGTTTAGGGGTTTAGGGGTTTAGGGGTTTAGGGGTTTAGGGGTTTAGGGGTTTTTGAGCAACCACTAGACGAAAACGCTTAGCCCAGAACTCTGATGCCTGGGCTCCTAAGCCACCATCCCTAAACCTTACAACTCCACATCCTAAGCCACCTGTTGTTGAAACCACACTCCGCCAATCAGCTCCTAAGCCACTAAACCCAAAAGTCTAAAACCCAAACCCGAAAACTCCTCCTGCCCCTCGGCGGATCGGGCCGCAGCCTCTGCCGCCTTCTGCGCCGCAAGCAATTCTGCCTGGCCGAGAAGCTTTTCCGTCTCGGCCCTAGGGCTTAAAGGTTTCATTCAGGTTGCTTCAGAGTTTTTTGTTTTTGAGGTTCGGCTTAAGCATGGCGAACCAACAAAAGGCTTGTGCAGGTTGCTTTACGGTTGTATGGTGTTTGCTTCATGGCTTGTATAAGGGTGACCATAATTCTCATCCTCTACGTTCCCTATTTAGTGATCATTGGGTGCCTAAACACCTTATGAAACCCCCATGAACTCTTAAAGCCCTCATATAACGCTGAACAGCCCGTATAAACTACGACAAAAACGCTCTAGAACGCTCCAAAACCCTTCAGAAACCTTTTTATGGTAACCCCTAAACCCCTTGACCTGAAACCCTAGAACCTCTAAAGCTCTTGAAGCCAACGGTTTAGGGTTTTTTTACGGTTTAGGGTTTAGGCTTTAGGGTTTATGGCCACCTCCAGGCGGGCCCGCTGCTCTTCCTCGCGGCGAAGCTCCTCCGCTGCGAGGCCCTTTGGATCCTGCTCTTCAAGGGGGGGCTCATTGCTTCGTTTTTGGGGCTTGTTAGTTTTATAGGTTTTTTTAGGGGGTCCCTTTTTTTGCATCAAGCTCGATCGGTTTTACATTTTTTTTTTTTTAAGGCTTAAGGCTTTAGGGTTTAGGGTTTGTGGCTAGGTTTTATAAGGCTTTAGGGTTTAGGGTTTGATGCTCTGGGGTTTAGGATATATGACTAGGTTTGATAGGGTTTAGGGTTCAGGATTTTTGTGTCCCTCTCGCATGGTTGAGGTCTATGCTCACAAGCGAAGTGCTTTTGGGTTTCACAGAACCTCCCCTCAACGACTAGCCCAGCATAGAACACTACAAAACCGACATCGAAGGAGAGGGATCCCCACAGAGACGGCGAATTACTGCCAGCAAAGTCTAGCCTTGACGATCTAGCCCACTACAAATGACTCCCCGTTCGTCAAGAGAGGACTTGTGGGCTTTAGGGCTATAGGGTTTAGGGTTTATGAATAGGTTTTTTGTAAAGGCTGTGAAGAAGTTTAGAGGGTTTTTGAAGGGCTTCAAGAAATTGAGCTTCGGGGGGCCTGCTATAAGGCTTCGTAAGGCCGTGAGAAGGTTGATGCAGGGTCTTACAGGGGTTTTGAAAAGGATGGGGTTCTACAGGTTTTTGAAGTTGAGGTTTGACTATGTGTGAACAGGAGGCATGCAACATCATCACCACAACAACAACAAAACAAACAGTCGGAACCCAAAACACAGCACCGCCACTGCACTCAACGGCACGAGCGAGCGTTCGCCTCCTGATTGCGCTTGTCTGTGTAGGGCTGCAATGTGCTTCGTGGCTTGAGGCTGAGGTGTAATATAGGGGCCTTCATAATTTGAATGTATGGTTTTGGGGCCCATTATACTATAAGTATAATAAGGAACCCCCAAAATAGTATTGGTAATTATTTAGGCCCCGATATTGGCTTGCAAGACTTCTGGTTTGGAATTCGAACTCTCGCCACTTGGACAAGCCGGCTCAACCCTACACTTTGAGCCGGCATATCCTAAACCGCAAGCTCTCAACCCTTGTGACTTGTTCCTAAACCCTAAACCCAAAAACCCTAAACCCCTATTTGGCTCACAACTTAAGATCGGCCGAAAAGCCATCACCGGCAGCTCGGTAGCCCGACCCAGCACAGCGCACAGGGCGGCGACGCAGGTCTGGAAGGCACATACATTCACGTGCAGCTTTAGGGCTTAGGGCTTAGAGTTTAGCCCCTTTTTCTGTGGTACTTCTTCCCCGAGTTTCCATCATCCTCGTCGTCTTCGGATGTCTTCGGCGGTTTAGGGTTTGCGGTAAAGAGTTTAGGGCTTATCTGCTTCTTTATCGGCATAATACAGACTCGTGCGCTGAAGCATGTGCACATGTGCATAAACATAGAGGTACGCATGGAAAAAGCTGCATAAAAATCCGTACATCCCTCAAACATGCCCACATACGTACGTCCGTACGGCCTGCATTACTCACTGCTTCCTACAGCTGTGATCATAGTCATGGCTCATGTCCATCACGAGTATGGACAGGCTCTTTCAGTCTGATTACGACCTGCTATGCAACACAACTGTGGAAGATCATCACACCCGTACAAGGATGAAAATGTACAATGATGAAAATGACATCTGAGCCTCATTCACAACTAGCCAGCTAGGACAGCAATGCTTATCACAGAGTTCATGACACCTGCCGATTAAGATTCAGGGATCAAGCCTCTGTGTGTTTGTTGGGCTTGTCCTCCTCCACCCGAGGGGCACCTGGCGCAACTACGGCGCATGGCTTGGGGGCTTCAGGGTTTGGGGCTCGAACGTTTGTGGTCAAGCAAGCTTCCAAGATGCACATAAACGACATCGGCATACATCGGCCTCAAGCAGCTAGGATTCTTGCCATCGGCAACTACAAGATGCTCGGAAATCCCAAACGGCCTGGGTTTTCCTGCAACAACAAGAAGGCTGCTTCGTGGTCATGCAGGGCGTTGTCATGCGTGCAAACCCTAAACCCTAAACCGTGTGAACACACAATTCGCATACCCACACGAGCATGCATGCGCTCATGAAAAGCCCGATAGCCAAACCCTTCACCGCCAATCCTCACCTTTAGTAAAGACAATGCTAAACATATCGATAATGATAATAGCTAATGATCCTCACCTTTGATAAGACCATGATAAATATATCAATAATGAAAACAGTAACACGAATACTAATGATCCTCGCCTTTGCTAAAGACAAGGATAAATATATCAAGAATGATAATAGTAATACGAATACTAATGATAACAACTTACCCCCACGGCGAACTGAGATCCCGAAGGCCACCGCCGAAAGGACCTAGCGGCCCGGCCTAACTTTCCAAGTCCTCTTGCAGCCTCCCGTCGTAAGCCAGAGTCATCGCTCCTTGGTTAGGGGTTTAGGGTTTAGGGTTTAGGGTTTAGGGTTTAGGGTTTAGGGTAAGCCAGAGTCATCGCTCCTTGGCCACACAGTGAGACTCTGTGCGTCCCGCCTAGCTAGGACAAGCCTGCCTGCAGGGAAGTAGACATACTAGAACAAAGCCAAGACAGCATGGCGCAACAGAAGGGTCCCGATGCTTCCGGTTTGGCATAGTATAGTATAACTATATACTGACTTTAAGGGGACACTGTAGGTATTTCTTCCGACACCTATGTTGCAACTGCAAGGACATGAACCGAGGCTCCAATTCCAGAAACGGCGGGATGTCCCGATAACCCAAGCACCTTTCTAACCTTCTCTGTATCGTTCCATTCTTGCTGGATGGCTTCAGGGCTCTTGGGGATCTGGGTTTAGGGTTTATAGGGGTTTAGGGTTCTGGGTGTTATCTCAAATCCCGGGGGCTTCTCAAGCAGCTCACAGAGTGCGCGGACGACCTTGCCATCTCCCCGCTTCGCCACGGTCCAAAGGACCTGTGCTCTGCAGCAGCAGTAGCAGCACTCGTGCTGGTGGCAGTAAGGAAAGGGAGCAGGAGTAACAGTAGTCGTAATCGCAATCGCAGTCGTAATCGAAGCTGCAGTCGTGGTCCCAGTCGTAGTCGTAGTCGTAGTCTTACTAGTACAAGCAGACAGCAGTAATAGCAGCAGCAGTCGTAGTAGTAGTAGTAGTAGTAGAAGCAGCACTAGTAGAAGTAGTAATGGCAGTAGCAACAGAAATAGCAGTAACAGTAGGAGTAGCAGTCGCAGTCGCAGTCGCAGTCGCAGTCGCAGTCGCAGTCGCAGTCGCAGTCGCAGTCGCAGTCGCAGTCGCAGTCGCAGTCGCAGTCGCAGTGGCAGTGGCAGTGGCAGTGGCAGTAGAAGTAGCAGTAGCAGTAGAAGTAGCAGCAGCAGCAGCAGTAGCAGTGAGAGTAGGAGTAGTGGTAGTGGTGGTGGTGGTAGTAGTAACAGTAGCAGTAGCTGGAGCAGTAGTAGT